CATCTGAGCACCTGCCCCATCCCACCATTGAACCTGTGCCTTAGGTCCCAGGAGGACCTCCTCCCTCAGCTTGGGAAGGAATGGGAGGGCAGATGAGGGACAGCCTAAACCAGTAGTCAGTTATCTCTGCTTCTCCTTTATTTCCCTCAAATCCACCAGATCCTTGCCTGCCATTTTCCTGGGCCTCAGTGTTCCCACCAGCGAAGTGTTAGTGCCAGACCTCACACTCTAGGGCATAGAGGAGACGTGGGTAGGTAAAGGGAGAAGGCTTTGCATTCCAGCAGTGTTTTATGCAAGGAAAGAAAAGACCACAGGAAAAAAAGTGAAGAGATTCGTCTCCATACCACCACCATCACAGTTAGGCGGGTGGCTGGAGAGAAGATTTTAAATCCACCCACATAGTCTTTTAAAAAGACTTGCCTAAAAATACTGCACCTCTAGATGACCCCACTTCATTTCTCCCCCTAAAACGACACAGAAGCAACTCTCCCTTTCTTTGCCTTCCTGTGATGCAGCATGGGCTGTGAGGAGGCACTTCTGAATCCAGTGAAGAACTGCAGGCATTGAGGAACCATCCTCCCAACCGCATGGATAGACTTGGGACTCGACATAGGTCCTTGACAGATGCTAAGGAGAAGGAGTTGGAGGCTTGGCCACCTGTAGCCTGTGTCACAGATATACTACTGCAGGTCACAGGAGGCAGAGCTCCTACTGATGGGTTTTGCGGTTCGGTTTGGACAAAGGAGGAGGGCGGGGCATGAGAGCCAGGGAGGAGAAGGAAGGAGCACTACCTTGTTCTGCCTCTGCGTGCTGAGCCCTGGTTTTTCACCCTGTTTTTCTTTTCTTGGAGGCCCAAAAGTCTTCAGAGAGGGTGTTTGAGACAGAGCTCGTCTAGGTCCAAGTCTGGAGTAGGTATGGAACTGTCACTATAAACACTTCCCAAGCAGATGACCCACTTCTGCAGAAAGCACTTGAACTACACGTGGAATCTGTTCTTTTCAGGTTTGACTGAACCCTCTGTGCTCCGTGAGCCACCGTGGTGATCTGGCACTGTCGCTCAGTTCTCAGGCTGAGAAGTGTCCCTGGCTCTGGGACTGAGGGGGTTAACGGAGTGCTTCTCTGCACTCACTGTTAGCGGGAGGATAGCCGGCCTGGAGAAGGACAAGCTCTTCAGATGAAACTGTCTTTGAGCAGTTGAGCTGTTTCCACTTGTGGTTTTACAATGGCCCTATAAAACCAGCCAAAAAAAAAGAAAAAAAAAGTCTTCGAAAAGGGTCAGGCAAGGGGACCCTTGAGTGGAGGCCCAGCATCAAGCCAGCACTGGCCCAGTCTGAGAGTTAGCTGCTATCTAGGGTCCTGAGTCCTTTGGAGAGGCAAGCAACTGAGGCCAGCCTTGGATTTGGGAAAGGTCAGTGGGCAATTCCATCGCAGAAGAACTCTGCAGTGCAAGAAGGGGGAAAATAAGGCAAGCTTTCCCTGGCGTGGAAGAATAAAGGGCAGAGGGTGGACCTGTGTTTTTAATGCTGCATGTCATCAGGTAGCTGCTCGCAAAGGGCCAGCCTCTTCTTGGAAGTTTTTGTTGGTGGTCTCCACCAATTCCAGTTTGTTTTTCCTTTGTATTGTTCTTAGCACCAAAATAGAAGACACTTCTCCTGTGTCTCCTCAGAGCACCCCATGCCTACCTCTATCTTGTCAATAGGATGCTATATTACAGCTCAGCCTCTCCTCATCTGTGTGCCTCGCCAGGACGTAAGGAGGCAGGCATCATATCTCTTATCTCTGGAGTCTCAGCACTATCTCAGCATATTGCAGAAGTGTGCATAGACCCACAATCTCTCATCTGCAAATTCCACATTCACAAAGGTCTGGAAACCTCGAGTTTTCTTTCAACTCATTTTGCAGAAAACCCTGGGCTAGATGTTGTCAGGGTTGCAAAGTCAAAATGTAGAAGCAGAGTGGGAACAGCAGGACTCAAATACATGGCGAAACAGCACAGAACCACAGGGCAAGGCAGGCAGCAAGCTGTTGAGTATGAGGGGAAGAGTGAGGCGTGAGTGGCACATTCTGAGATGAGCTCTGAAGAGACCTGAGGGGCCAGGTGGCACTTAAACTGGGTTTAAATTGTAGATAAGGTTTGCACAGATAAAGGGGTGGGGTGGGGAGATAATCGTGGGACAGCATGGTTTTCTATTTCCCTTACTTTTTATAGACATATTGCTCTCTTTCCATTAAGTTTTCAGTCTTTGCCAGGGCTAGGATCTTAGTCCCGTTTCTTCCATTCTGTCCACTGTACACAGAAAATGCAGTCATCTCTCAGAATGCTCCCGTTCGATAAGAAATTATTCTGGGACTTACATATAGAATGTGCTTGAGAAGATTTTCTTGAATGAATAAGAACTTAAGGGCCTGTAATTTGTTTTCATTCATAAACTTTATTTTTGGAGCAGTTTTAGGTTCCAGTAAAATAAGGGGAAAATACAGAGTATTCCCATAGACCCCTTTTCCCACTGCCCCACAGCCTCCCCCACTGTTGACATTCCACACCCACGTGGTGCAGCTCTTACATTCACCAACCTACATGGACGCGCCATTATGTGGATGCCTGTTTGTCCTTGCATTCTCTCTTATTCAAGAGTAACAGAGGAGGCAGACGAGGACGGCATGCCTTGCTCTGGTTCAGCGGCCTCTCTTTCCTCCCCCTACTTAGAGGTTCCTGGTCTGCAGAGAAACTTGCCCAGATGCAAAGCCACAGAGCAGGGACAGCAGGACCACAAACTTTAAAAGGTGTAAGCAGCTGGACGCGGTGGCTCATGCCTGTAATTCCAGCACTTTGGCAGGCCAAGGTGGGCAGATCACCAGACGTTAGGAGTTAGAGAACAGTCTGGACAGCATGGCAAAACCCTGTCTCTACTGATAATACAAAAAATTAGCTGTAATCCCAGCTACTCGGGAGGCTGAGGCATGAGAATCGCTTGAACCCGGGCATCAGAGGTTGGCAGTGAGCTGATATCGCGCCACTGCACTCCCTGGGAGGCAGAGTGAGACTCCAAAAAGAAGAAAAAAATAGATGTAAGCACCGAGAAGGTGGAGAGCGCTTCCCTGTGCAATAGAGGAAGACATGTAGGCATAGATATTAAAGACGGAAAAGACCCCTGGGATCAGTTCCCTCCCTCAGGGTCCAGAGCCGGGGAAGTATTCAAGGAACTGCTGCCTCTGATGTCTCATTGACTGACCGCAGTCAAAACCACACATTTTTCACCAGCTCCCAGGGCAGCTGAGGCCAAGTGATCTCTTCTCCCATGAGTGTGGCCTCAAGAACAGAGGTACTGACGCCACCAGCCCCTTGAAGTGTTTTGTTCTTTACAGTTTGAAAAGCCCATTTTAAGTATCGTTGCAGCCTCACCACACCCTAGTGTGCAGGGTGCTTCGGGGTCTTCAAATCTCACAGGTGAGAGAGCTTCAGGGAGCGAGGGGATAGCCCTTCATCGCACTGGGTGAGGGAGTTGAGCCAGACCCTGTATACTGAGCCCTCAGCCCAGGCTTTCTGTAGGGCATGGTGGGTGGATCATTGACTTCAGGGTCCTCTGGCCGCTGCTTGTGATAATATCAGATCAATTGTATTTAGTTTAACATTCATAATGAGAAAAAAAGTAGTCATCCTCCCGAAGTATGGTGTTTTAATTTATGTATAGCAAGAAATATTTCTGAGTCAAATACTGTTAGGAAAAGTTTAAGCATAGATGTTTACCTCGAACCCTCTCCAAGTCTTCAATATACTAATGTGATCAGGATGCAATATTTGACCGTAATTCCGTTTCTGGCAGAGCATCTTGATTGGGGGATGCAGCAACAGAATTGGGGGACATATGGCTGCTTTTCTCTCCAGGGCTCAGCTCTGAGCTGTCCTCCACAGAGGGTCTCATAGGAGCTTGGAGGAGGAAAGATGGAAAACTGAAATCTCCAAGAATAGGCTAAAAGGAACTGAGTTATTCAGGCATAATAAGAAGAAGACACTAGCAGGACATTGAAGTCAATTTTCCAATATGTGAGCATGTGAAGGATCCACTACATAGCGTGGTGGGTGAGGGGCTGTTCTTGCAAGTTGAATGCTCAGAGCCTGGCTTCCCTTCAGCCAACGGGACAGAACCGAATCAGTCGGCCTCAAGGAGCTTGCTGCATGAACACAGGGAGCCTCTGGGGCCAGGAGCCAGGCAAGGCAGGGACTCAGCATCTCAGGGTTCTCAAAGGGCCCCACAGGACTCAGGTGGACCAGTTTGCATCCTGTACTGAGACAGGGGTCTGAACACAATGACCCATTCAGGTGGTTGTTGGCCTCAGGGTGCTGCAATAACGAGATTTTCTGTAGAAGCAGGTCTGAGAGGCAGATGCTGCAGGATGAAGTGTGGGATGGAGACCTTGGGTGAATTCATTCACACCCAAACCAGGAGGGCCGAGGGGGTGAGGGTGAGGGAGGGAGAGAGGAGGAAGACTCAGAGCAGAGTCGTTTGAAAGAGCCCCGAAGCCACCGGGTGGAAAGTCACCCTGCGGGGAGCTGACCTTCCTCCCTCCTCCCGAGAGGCTCCAGCCGGCGCTGACCCTGGGTCTTATCTCTGTGGCCTGTGAGAAAAGAGGCAAAAACCGGCTCCTCGTGCCTCGAAACCTTGCTGCCAACATCTGAGGGCAGGCCTTGATCTCTGGGTCTGTGCACCCCCCCTTATTCCTTCCTGACCTTTCATCCATGAAGCTGGGACAGATGATGTGGGGCTAGGGGGGTGGAGAGGGACAGGGGATGCAAAGAAACAAAAGGAAAATCATGAAGGGAGACTGGGCCCTGGGGATGGGTTACTTGCAAAAATCCTGAGTTTCATTAAATATAGAAAGGTAGGATGAAAAAATAATATTCACTCATTGTTACAGTTTCAAAGTCGGAAGCTGGCCTTGATTTCAAAGAACTTGTGTGTAATGTGATGCATGGTTTTCTCTTCTGTCTCTTTTTATAGGTAAGTGACATTTCATTCTGCTCATCCCCAAGGCAAAGTTGGATGTTTTTAAAGTGGAAAAAAAAATGAGCGGAAAAAGAAACGGGGAAGGTGGGAAGAGGTGGAAGTGGAAGGGCACAGGTAGGTGCATACTCAATTCTTCATCTTTTGCACGGACTGGTGGGGGGTCTTCCCCCCAGATTCGGTGGAGAATCCTTTCCTCAGGACGGAAGGTCCAGGCGGTGACTGTGGCTGTTGAGATGATGATGGCTTTGCTCTTTGAAAGGGGTTTGTCTTGTGACACAATGGCCAGCACTTTTGCTAAGAGTCTTTCCTGGGTGAAGTTTCAAGTCAGAAAGGATTTGAGGTTTTGCACCCTAATGCTATGTGTCAGCTACATTGCTGTGAGTAGGGCCTAGAGGAAGTAGGGAGAAGCGTTCTGGATTAAAACATTCCAGGAAGGAAAATCAAGAACAAGGAAGGATGTCATTCCTGACATGGTCAGGCAGTGAATGGTTTGGAAATTTCTGAACAGAAAGGAGGTTTGTGGGAAAACTGAGATCTTGTACGTTAAGAATTTTTTACTTAATTTTACGGTCTATCCTACTACTGTCAATGTACTTTTCTATTCCTGCCTGGTCGCCGAGGCTGAAACATCACTTATTTTCTCTTTAGCATGAGGCAGAGTAGCTTTCTAAAAGAGCTGGGGGCTGGTTTGTCATTGTAGTCACTGTACCTTTTCTTGGTCAGTCAAGAAAGGCGTTTTGAAGTTCCAGACTAGTTTTGGCTTTCTACTGCTCTTAAATATAATTGCTTTCCCCTAAGAGTAGAGTGAAAATGCTCTTTTTTTTCCACCTGTGAGTTGCCAACAATCCACTGATATAATTGACTGATGGCTCTGTCCCACATGTATTTGTTATTTTCTTTGAGAGAGAGAGAAACGTAAAACATTCTATTTAACAGTCTATAAATCCAGACTGGAAACATAAAACTCAATTCAATAAAAATATTGAACATACTCAGTTTTATCTTATGTTCAATTAAAGGAGATCAACAGAATGAAGTGGGGGCTGGGTTAGCAGAAAGGGGAAAAAGACAAAAACTATTTCAACTATGTCTAAGCCCTCAGAGGAAATGCTCTCACACACACACGAGAGATAAATCTATAGGCTTCGGAAATCTTCGAAAGAGACAAAAATACTAGAATTTGTTCCTGAAAGTGTATAATTCTATTTCTATCATTTGAATACACAGATGTTCTTTAAATCTTCTTTCCCTTGCTTTTCACAAAGAGGGTGTATAAAATAAAACTCAAAACCCAGCTTCCCCCTCTAAATTAGGAAAAGTGTCACCGTATGTTGAAAATCACAAAGCGTCTTTTTTCACGGCGCCATGTCCCCGTCCTGTGGTCTTTCATTTCCTCCGAAGACACTGTGACTTGTGTCAGATTTACACGGCTGCAGACACACCTGGGAATGCTTCTTGGTATTTGCCATGCATAATGGGGAAAATTAAGCTGCCATGTATCTGGCTCCTAGCCCGAGCAAGGGCTGTGCACCACCCCCAACCTGCTTTGAAAGGGAAGAAGATCTACAACCAGGAAGCACTCCTAGAAGCTGCCCAACATGGCAGTAAGAAGGTGGGTTCTTAGCCGCGTGGCTTCCTGCAGTCCCTCTGCCACAGCCAAGGCCTGTGGATCAAGGCTGATGGAGTCACTGATTTAGCGGGAACATCCGTGTCTTTTTGAGTGTGTTCACAGAATAAGGGCTGCAACATAATTGCTCCCTGGTCTTGAGGTCCTCCCTTTTCTGCATAGGTAGGCATTGCGTGGAGGAAAAGGGACGGCCTTCCCTCCTGGCTCCCTGTGGACCTCAGAGCTTGCCTTGTCAGCTGGTGGCAGGGGACGCTGAGGGGCCCAGCTTATTGTGATGGATGAAGGCAGTCCCTCAGAATTTCCCATTAATAAGGAGGTAATAGAGTATATGTTAATTTTACAAGAACATTTTCCACAGAGTATATAAGTACACGGGATATATTTGAATAGTTTTAACATGCTATGATTCTCGGAACCATGGGAATGAAATTCTATTTGCACCTACCTAATAAACAACACATTCCCCAGCACTACTGGGCCCTGGTGGAATAAGAAGACAAAGGGGTCGTGTTCACACGCACACCCCCCCAACACACAAACGCTGGCACGTGCTCACACACACGTTCATATTCTTACATGCATACTCACAGAACCGTGATTGTGCCTTTGAAAGGTGACAAGGAGCAAAGACGTTTTTCAGAATTAGAGCTGGCCTCTCAGTGTTGTTTCCCCAGATACATGTGTCCTGTTTCGTCACCCTCATCGCTCTCCAAACGCCTGGCCCCGTCGCTGTGTTTAACTTCACAGCTTGGCTGCTGAATGCGCCAGGCTCTTCATTTGCTTGGAATCCATCGATCTGGCCGTCTCCCTAGCGCCAGTGCCCCAGGTTGGCACAGTTAATCATCTTGGGTCCAACATTGATCTCTGTCACTCCATTCCTCTCTCTGCCTCGGGTCCTGAGGCTTCCCTTGACCCCTCTGTCTGCAGCAGCAGGGGCCGGGCCACTGAGAGGGTTTCTGCTTCTCAGCTCTGGTTCTCTAGCTTTGAGGGAGCAGCAGTGAGTGTGAGGGGGACTGTGTGCACCACTACTAACAGAGATGGAAACAAAGAAATGTGTGGTCTTCAATAGCAAGTCACACCCTTGCCAGCCCTGGCAAAGCCGGCTTTGAGGACTGAGGATTGCTGGGATTCCCTGTCTCTCTTTGGACAAGGATGTTTTTGTAACCTTTTTTTTTTTTTTTTTTTTTTTTTTAGTTAAGCCTTACTAAGAGTCAGATACCTTACTAAACAATACACACAGACACAGACACACACAGGTTTATCTTATTTTCAAAGCAATTCTACGATACTGGTTTTATCATCCTCTTCTTACAAACAAGGAAATCCAGACTTAAAGTGATGAGATAATTTGCCCAAGGTCACATGACCTTGAAGCTTGAATTAGAACTTGTGTCTCTCTTACTACAGTATTTGTGCACTTAACTGCTTTGGGATGAAAATCCTATCCCAAAAGAGCAGAGGGTGACAGGAAAGGAAAGTCTTTGGACCACCCTGGGCTTGCTCCCCTCTAGCTTTACAGATCAACCAAACTCTTGACTGCTAGGCCTCTCTGGACAGGGCTCCAGTGGAGCCAGCACAGGCAGGTGACAAAGAGCCAGGCCCAGATTTAGAAGAACCCAGTTTGAGACCTGCATCTGTTACCAATTTGCTGTGTGTCCTTGGGCAATTTATTAAATTCTCTGAACCTCTCAACATGAGGACAGAAGCATGTCAGTGTAATACTGTATAAGCTTAACCAGAGACCAAGTACCTGTAAAAGGATGCTCTGACAATATTTAATAATTATCATTACTTGAAAAATCCCCTTTCACCATGGCCTTCCAAATTTCTGAATCTAGTTCTTGATTTTTCTAATGAGGTCTAGAATTTTTGCCAACACAAGGAACAGTTCTTGGCAGCTTTCTGCATCTTCACTTCCTTTCAATACCAGGCCTAGTGGAGAGCAAAATTAGCCTGCCAATCACTCAGAGGCGTATGGGCCCCAGGAAATTAAATTCCCTCTCTCTCCAGCTGTCTATCCCCAGTGCCAGGTACCAAATGAACACACGCCATACGTTGCAGTTCCCGTGTCGTCTTCTTCCTATATGTTAATTTGATAATTTTAGTAAAATAAACCAAGTAGATTTGAGATGTAGTTGATTATCCCCAAAGTCAAGAGATTATAGAATGCCGTTAGTCAGAAGGGGACCACTGCTCTCTTCCGCTGATTTTTTTTTTTTTTTAAGATTTTAATATTTCCTTTTTCCAGCAACATTTAAAAGCCACTCTTTTACATCTGTTGCCATCCTTTAATGACAGACAGAATAAAGGGACGATTGTTACTCAGAGAAGCTAAACAAAGGGACTAGGATCACTTGGCACATCCTTGTGTGTGCCTGACTTTGAACTCCTGGAGCCCATATCCTCCACACCTCTGTTGGGCACCAGAGACAGGACCCACAGAACTGCTTCCTGCAGCCACGGATGGGTACCCAACAAGCCTTAGGGAGAACTGTGCTCTAAATGCCATCTGTGTTTGCCAGTGGCATTCACGCGTTCCCTCCTGTCCCTCAGGGAAATTAAGAAGGGATCTCCTCTCAAGGCTGACACCTGGAGACAGCAGCTTCCTGTTACCCATCCTTCCCACGCCTCATCTCTGGAGTGAGTTATCTTAATCCTGACATTTGCCCAGTCATTCAGAATGTAAACCTTTTTGTACTACAGGGTAAAAAATATTTTGGGTAAACAGTGATTGCATTGATGTGAAAAGCCAAGTAGAGATCCCTGGTAAGGGAAGGATAAAGAGCTTTGTCCATACTGTTTGGTCACTGTTATGGGCTGAAGAGGATCTTTCCAAAATTTACATATTGAAGTCCTGTCCTCTAGTAATTCAGAAGGTAACTGTATTGGGAGATACTTAAAGAGGTGATTAGGGCAAAAGGAGGTCATCTGGCTGGGCCCGAATCCAACATGACTGATGTCCTTATAGAAAGCGATGGGGACACAGCACACAGGGAGGAGAGTTCATGCGAAGACACAGAAAGAAGGCAACCATTTGCAAGAGATGCCTAAGAGGAAACTGATGCTGCTGACATATTGATCTTGAACTTCTAACCTGCAGAGTGCAAGGAAATAAATTTCTGTTGCCTAAGCTACCCAGTCTAGGGTATTTTGTGACGGCAGCCCTAGCAAACTAAAAAAGTCACAAAATGCATCCATCTAGACTCAGTCCCAATGTCTGGGAACAAGCAGAACTGGCCGTCAGCCTCGGAAAGGAGGCAGGCTTCCGAGACAAATTCCCGCCCCACCGTATTTTGCCTGACTTTTATCAATTTCCCATGTTGATCTCCAGTTTCCTTATCTGTGTGCTGGGTATGATATGTATCTCAATGCTGTTTTGAAAATTAATTGAGATAAGGAATAATAAATAGTTTAAGACACACATTGCTCAATATCCAGTTTTGCTAACTCTATTTCTCTTAATGATCATAGGAATAAAAATATACAG